CGGTAGAGAGGGCGGGTACCAGAAAACGTAGGCTCCAGGGACACCTGATATCAAGTAAATAATAGCAAGAAACCATATTGTTGGACCTACAATTATCGGAACTCAGAATTAGTGAATGAAATTTTTAAGCAACTTCTTAACAAAGACTAAATTTTGCCACTCAAGACCAACCTTCACCCTTAATCCAAGCTAAGGTAACTGCTATAGTATTCCAGATGAGACAGGCAACAAGTCCTGCAGGTCACTAAAGTCAAAATGAGCCTATCATTCTGCTAAAAATAATATGGCTTCTTCAAATAAAAATCAACCTTAACTATCACAAATCACTTTCAACAGGATAGTTCTGTACTTCTGTAATATCCCAAAGTAACCTGAACTTTAGATTTTCCATCATTTGCAAGGGAGCCAAAGACTCACTATTTTTTGGCTTGACAATATGATGGAATAAAGCAAAATGGCTCACTATATTGTCTGCGCTTCTTTGTTATGAAGCAGTAGTCAGTTCATGGAACTTTCAACGCGATTTCACTATGGGTCATCCAGAAACAGTCTCTTTGTGCTTTAGTACAGGGGTAAGACTGCGTACATCCGACCCCCCTTACCCTACCGAAGGTGGGGAGCCTTTGCGGCACTGGGGTAATGATGATGAAAAAACTGACCTTTAGAATTGAAATAGAAATGTGCCAATATTTTATAACAAACTATGGTGGCCTACAGTAACTAGTAAGATGTATTTTCAAAGAGTTTTAAACTCTAAATCAGCTATTGTACTAAGAGAAGAACTCAAAGGAGTGACACGTCTGATTGATCAAAATAAAAGATTTGGTTGTAAGAAAAAGGCACAAATATAAATCATAAAAACAAAACACATTCCTCTCTCTGTTTTCTCTTGAATATAGCAACTGCAACACATGTAATATAAAATGAAATAACGGAAAGGATGCTAAAGCTGGGTTTACAAAAATAAACCGCAAATTAGGACAAATGGTATTAAGAAAACATTTAGTAATGACTGACTGTTGAATTTTCTGAAAGGCAAAGTGTTTGGTAACATCCATTACAGCCAAACAAGTAAGTCTAAAGCTGCTTATTCCGCTGATAAGCAGAATAAGTCAAACAAGGCTACTAGAGGAAAGCTAAATATCAAAATCCACTGCAATCACTTTAAACCATAAACTTGTCTGGTTGTCCCATGCTTCAGCGTATAATCATTATAGAGTGAAAAGAATGCATCTAGTATACAGATTTAATCTTGAGCATGGGGAGAAAGTAAAAAAGGATGAAGCAGTAAAATATGAGCCTGAATGAAATTAGACATACCCAACAATGTAGTGAATGCCACATACTGCAACTTCTGAAGATGGATTGGAATTTCATTTGAGATGTCATGATGAATGATAGGAAAAAAAGGTGGCCAATTTTTTTCCTCTATTACAACCCCAGCTGCACAATGTATAGCGGGTGATTCATAGCATTTTTCCAAATGACATTGTTTAGCATAAGGAATATAAATAATAATCACAATAGTAAAACAACAACAACAACTAATAATAAGGAGATATTTACCTCTTTTAATGGCATCTTCTCTCCTTTTAAGTTCCTAAATACCACCAATAAATTGAAAGTTAGCATGAAAAAAATCAAATGACCACTTACTTGAAGATGGGATTGCTAAGAATTCATGCTTTTTTCAAAAGGTCAACACTATCATATTAAGACCTCACATTTCAACCTAAAAGATAAGATTCATAGCTAAGACCTCGATTTAGGATTAGTAACATAGATCAGAGCAACACGTGGCATCACAATAACATAGTTTCTCACATGTGAACAGACTAGATCCAAGAAAGCTATTAAGTTGTCACTGTAAATAGAATAAATGATCATTTACAAAGGTTGAATAGGGTATTCTGTACCATTATGTATACCAAATCAAAGAGATGATGAAAAGAATGTATGGTTCAAAAACATACTGTATACCTCTTCCTTCTTTTTCAGTTCAGCCTCTCTAGCTAGGAGTTCCTTCTCCTTCTTCTTTAAATCCTGAATTATTTGAAAAGGCACATAGATTAATTACTTCAATCCTATATGCATTGAAAAAGGAATGATCATATAGAGGAGACCTATGCTGTTATTACCTGGGAGGTATCAAGGGGGATATCAACAGTTGCACTGCGATCATAGTCAACAGGTTCAGGAGGAAGAGGGGAAAGCTTAGTGTTCGATGCTGGTGTGGTACTCCCAGAACCCTTCATATTTGCATCCGGAGTTGGTAATGTAAATTCAAGGAAAAATTATAATCAATTATTATTACACATGGAAAAGGGGCTTTGCTTAATAGTGTAAACCAACGCCTTTTTGCTTCCACTGGCACACTACAGTATTTATGCCTATGAGCACTATAATGTCTGTCTAAAAATGGTGTTTATGTACATCTTAGTGTATATCTTGGTGTACGAAAAGCATACTTCATGAAAAGAACAACTAGAGGTTATCAACAAACCAAGACCAGATCAATATTAAAACTCATAGTTCCATATTAAAAGGCTAGGGCTAATATGTTATATGTCAATGCTAAATCGCCCCACATACTGAATTAGTTACTAACCGACATTTTTGTTTACCACGTCGAGCCACTGTTAGTTCCAGTTCTATCCTTTTGTACGGTGTATGACTCCAAGGGAAAACTAAATAACTGACATGAAAATGGTAAAGAATAGTACTCCACATTTACTTTCATTCATTCATTCATTCATTTGTACATGGTGATATGGTAACTAATTATTTGCAATCAATTCTAGTTAATACGTACTAACTTATTTATCTATCAAGCAATAATATTGAACTGAAACAAACAATTCGAGCCTAATAATGCAAAAGAAGTGATCATGCAGAAAATGCACCAATATTTACAGGAATAAAGCAAATGCAGATTGATCATACATATTCAGCAGGAAAACTAAAAATAAAAAAGTCTGGAGATTCGCATGCCTGGGCATTCAAATCACAACAGCACTATTTTAGTAAATCAAAGCATCCTAAGTCAATTACCGCAAATGGGTTGATTTCATCATCTGCGAAGGGATTGTCCTTGTATACGTCTCCCATTGGAATGACAATAAGGGCAGAAGACAAAAAAAAAACAAGCCTTTTCTAATAAACTGTTCTCCGGAAGAAGAGAAGAAAGGAAAAGAGGATCGCAGGTTAAGAATTTGACCGATCCTTAGAAAGAAAAAATAGAAAGGGGAATGAATCGGACGTTTTAGGATGATTAGAGAAAGAACATTGCTCCGACCGAATGGACACTGTGGACTGTGGTTTCCATCTTTGGAGTTGTGTCCTTTTTTGTTCTCTTCGAATTAATTTCTTTTTTATTGAAAGAAAAAAATTCGTTGAACCCTTCTGATATTACCAGAGGCAGACATTCCCGGTTGAGAGCAGAGTTTGCCGCGTTAAGCGTTGGTTGTTAAAGCATGAAATGAAATGAAAGTTGCATGGAAATTAGGAGAATTGTGACAACTTTTCTCGGTCACTATTACATCGTTTAGCCCGGGTTTGGCGTGAGGTTCACTCCCATTTCACATCCTTATATCTAAAAATTTCGCTCATCCCACATACTCAGCCAGCCTCACTATCCTAAATCCTAATGTTGTGTTTGCAATTGATTAAAAAATGTCACCCGCATAACTTATCTTCAAGAATTCATTTGTTTCCCGATTAAAGTTTTAGTTGAAATTTGGTATGAGTAAACTAGACTTAATGAATAAGAAGCTCAAAAAATTTTATCAAAAAATTTCACTGGGAACCACCCCAAATGGTGACGGTCGGACAGAACCTTCTATATAAGAGCTTATTGACCTTTTTTGTTAGTGTGTGGGCTTATTTTCCCCTTTTCTCTATGAAGTATAGACGTCTATTTATAACATAATAAAAGAAATGCGGTAAATTAAATTTATAAAAAATATAATGAAATTAAGTTATTTTTAAATACATAATATAAAAATGTAATAACTATATTCATATTCTACATTTTATATAGTATAAATTCTTTATGGTGTATATAAATAGTATAAAGTATACTATATAATTCTAGAATAAAAGAATGTAAAGTACATATACATATATGCATGTGTGTGTGCTATTTTACATATAATCTAAAACATAATAAGAACATTAAAAAATATCAAATGAAAAATACAAATCTAAAATATAAACATAACATAAATTGTAAAATACAAAACCTAAAATATGTTTTATAAAACCAATTATTATATATATAATACAAAAAATAAAAATTTAATTTCAATTTGTAAAAACATGAATTGTTTATTTCTTTTAAAATAGATTTAAAATATCAAATAGATTGAATGAATTTCTTTTAGTTTATTTTTTTATGAATTTACAGTGAGTCATATTCCACTAAAAATCCATTAAGAGATTGCATTAAATCCATTAAATTCATAAAAACCATTCACTTATAAACTAAAAACAGACTGCATCCGGTAAATTTCAGGTTGGGACCAATTATGGAATATGATAGGTAAAGATGGGATTTTTAATGGATTTTCGATAAATCGGACCGTTTATTGAAGACCGGGTAAAGATCGGATTATTAAATTCCATTTCTCCTTAGCCTTTTTAGAAAGTCAATTTTATCATCCATCAATCTTGAAAACCAATAAGGCATTAATTTTTTATCAATTTGAGACTGGAGGTATTTTATACTTCAATAGTTTAATGTTTGAATTACTCAATTACCCAATATTTGGACAGCCGACAGCGCGACAATCCAACGAGTAGAGGGGTTTCCGGTCAATATTGAACACACAACCTTACACAATCTTTATACCAATTATACGCATTCACTAATGAGACATTACTATATTAGAGTATTAGATAAGACATCAAACATAAATTTCTCTTAATTTATAAACTACAAACTCATCTAAATCATTCATTGAATAAATCTAAAGGCTGAAAGCCTGAAAACACATGATGGAATTTTGGCAATAAAACTAATAAACATAGTGTAAAGATGCATTATACAAAGTTTTGCACCATAAACATAGTTTGTACCGGAGCCGCCCGTAGACCTCTATTCTTTAAAAACAAGCATTCTTCTTTTAAAAGAAAGGGACAATATTCTCAGTAGAACTTTATTGAAGCTTTAATACAAATACAACTTCAAAATTTCACTAACCAGTAGATACAGGGTAACAAATAGAAAATGCCGCCTGTTAAACCAATAGGTTAGCGAGCTTATGCATCATGGACAACACATTGCCTAAATGAATACTAAATTAATACATTTTCAAGTTACAAAGGAAAAAAAAAAAAACTACACCATGGGATAGGTGCAACAAAGAAAAACTAAAAGGTAGATACTTGGAGTGGGTTGGTATATCAACACAAGACCTTGTTTGTGCAATGCTGCTGGTCTGCACCATTTTCGTTTTGGTTACACAGTAGTAGTTGGCTTCCCAACAAGTTCAAAATCCATTCTTGATTTTTCATTGTCCTTAATTTTCCAATGTGGCACTACTTAATGTACTAACTCATCATCAAATCTCTTGGTCAGATTCCCTCCTTATCATTTCTATGATGTCTTGCACAACTTGTGACATTTGTGGCCTGAACTCTGGCTCAGGCTGCCATGAAAAGAAAGAAAAAGGAGACCATGTAGACAGCAAATGTGTCAATTAGGCAAAGACAAAACAGATCATACTACAAATATGATGGCCATTTGATAAGAAATATTTATGCTAAGTTTTCTAAACTGTAACATCCAGTTCAGCTACATAAGTAAGTCGCAAGCAATTTATTCAGCTGATAGGAGGAAGAATTTAATTTTAGTCCCAGGGGCGAGGGCTATTAGAGCATCTTGAATGCAAGGGTGTGGTCTCTTACACACCCTTACACATGGGTCCAAGGGGTCCCATTTTTTATCTCACAATTTTATGTATAGGACCCACGTGTTTTCTAAAAAAAATCATTTTTCACTTTTTATATCACTTTTAACTCACTTTTCATCAACTCTTCCTTCTCGAATCCAGTGCAAGGTCCATTTATGGAACTTGTCATAGAACTAAGTCTACTTTTTATCTCTATCTCTCTCCTCTTTTTCATTTTTCCCTGCACATCACTTCATCTATATTAAATTAAAATATCCATTTTATCTCTATCTCTCTCCTCTTTTTCATTTTTCCCTGCACATCACTTCATCTATATTAAATTAAAATATCCATTCTATCTCTATCTCTCTCCTATGCCACATCACTACAATCCACCCTCCCATTGGAGATGCGCCATTCTCATTTTTTCATTATATCATTTTTCCATCTTTTGGTGCATGACTACATTTTTGCCACTTTTGGTGCATGACTACATTTTTTCCACTTTTGGTCCTTTCGGCCACTGGTTTAGTGAAAGTCAACCAAAAACTGCGGAAATTGGCTAGATAAGTAGTCAGAATGACGGTAAGTGACAAAAAATATTACGTATATAGTTGTGAGACCAAGTGTAAAAATGAAAGTTAGGGACCAAACATGGGGATGACCAAATAATCGTGGGATCAAAAGTGGAATTTTTTTCTATGAAGGATAAGCAGAACAATGCTACGAAACAGAGCCTGAAAATCACAAAAGTACCTGAACACATCGTGAAATAATGTCAGCAAAGTGGGATAATGATTTTACAGGGTACTTTCCATGAAGAGATGGGTCGACCATCTTTGCCAAGGCATCAATATCGTGGAGCTTATGTATAGCCCATCTGACCAAGAAGTGCTCACCACGAGCCCGTGACCTAAAAAAGATGATTCCTTTAAATAGCTGATGATGGAACGTTGGAACGAAAAAAAGGGCAAAACTTGTGAAATGATAGATGATTTTATAGTAGCATTACCTGTCATATGACATTCTGCCCGTTAAGAGTTCCAACATCACCACCCCGAAACTATAAACATCACTCTTTAGAGTATAAATCCCAGACTCAAATTCCGGTGCACCATAACCATAGGTTGTAAGAAGTTGTCCCGACAACTGAAAATTTTGTGTGTTAGATATGCAGTTTTCAGGCAACTTGGAAGTTACATTGGAATACTATAATTACTATATTTTATGTGTCTCATATTATTACTACTTATATCTGTTTCCTTATTTGCATATGTTCCTTATTTCTACAATTCAACTAGTTCTGTATATTTCTGGGACTGGCAATCTGGCATTGAATATATCTCTTTTATGATCAATAAGAAGCAAGTCTTTTCCTATTATTAGGAAAACAAATCATTGGAGGGTTTTTGCTCTAATTGATCACATAAGATATATATACATACACATACATTGGTCAATCCCAGACAGTGATAGGTATTCAGGTTTCTTAACAGTAGATCGATCAATATTATTGCTGAAACGCAGAAAAGAAGAAGAAGATACAAGATACGGGCACTTCGAGAGGCCTCGACTCTCCCAGAACACAATTTCCCAGTTCTAAAATCTGCCTAACGACCCTCTTCTCCCCTTCCCATTCTTATAGTTATTATTTCCTAACGGGCCAGCCCACATTTTAAGACATGGCCCAGGATTCTTATTTAAATAATACCATACTTATTTAATATCAAACTATAACTACTATTCTTATTCTCTACAGCCCAGGGCCCTATCAGACAGATAGAACCTAGCAAATAACTAGATAAATATAATACGTAGTACGGAGCATGTAATATTATCACAACACAATACAATAAACACAGTAAACTCAAATCCATAATATGAAGTGAAGGGATACTAGATAGCAATAATATAGCATAAATGATCCCATTATATTGTACACTAACCATCAAAATATGAACTGGACACTTCCAAAAAGCTGATGGCAATGTATCTTTGGAATAATGTGTGATAGCAATGCATCTTTAGTAAATGTTTGCTTTAGATTCAATTAGAGGATTGTCTAGTATAACATGATCTAGCAATTATGACTTGTCCAATGTTTTAAACCTTGATGTTTACCGATCAGTTTTACATGTCCAAACTGATTCTAAAACCTGGTGATATTTCAACAAGAATTTCTTTGCAGAATTAGGATAAGAACTTACCTGACTGACAACTCCTGATGATATCAATGGAGCCAAACCACAATCGGACACATAAACAGCCAGCTCATCATCAAGGAGGACATTTGCAGACTTGAAGTTTCTGTGTACGATTGGGGGATCACATACCTCATGCAGATACCTATGTCATATAAAAAGAAAGGTGTTAACCCAATACCCTTTGCATTCAATTGTATTTTGTTATTGTGAGTCTTCTTTAGTACTACTCTGTACACTTTGGTTCACAATCAGTAAAAGGAAAAATCAGAGATATAAGAGGATAAAGTGGGAAAGCTACTAGTTCATAATGATGATGATGAAAAAATGGAGCATAGGGAGTAATATACAATTGCATTCCTACTAATAACAGATAAATACACTCTCATCAGGAAAACAGAGCATTTTGAATTCAAAACATCTAGTGGTTGTAACTTACTCCAATGCTCTTGCAGCTCCAAGAGCCATCCTAATGCGCACATTCCATGAAAAATCCTTTTTGAACTCATCATCAGAGTGCAATGCATCCTGCAATGTCCCGTTACTGCAATATTCATAAACAAGTAGCCTTTGACCATGCTCTGCACAGTATCCCATGAGCTCCACAACATTAGCATGCCGAATCCTATCAATATTGTTTACTAGGTCAAAAAACTCATCCTCCGGTTGGCTGCAAACCCTTTTGTCCAGTTTCTTGACAGCAAGAAACTACAGAGCCAAAAACAAAAGGGGATGTGTCAGAAGAAAGTGATGCAGTTAAAAATACCCGGACATAATGGGATCTGGATTCTGGAATGTGTGAAGGAAAGAGAAAGGCATTGCTCTTTGAGAGTAAGTTACTTGACTTAGTCTCTAGGAGAAAAAGCATACCCCCTCCATATGTTTTGACTTGACACGGTTGTTAGAAAGTGAAAAATGTGTAGTTGATATTTGTTCAAATGAGAAACAATATCATCCACTGAAGAAGAAGAAGAAGAAGAAGAGAAAAATAGGGATTTCCTAGATCTTTGCAATGACAAGATCTGCCAATATCTATTGTTGACAGAATATTTCTTATAAAATAGGAGTAATTTTTTAATACGCATAACACTCATCATCGTCATTTTCAGCCTAACCCCAACTATAATAGGGTCGGTGGCATAAAGTTTTAGTGTCAACTACTTGTCTACATTAGTTAACACTAAATCCATGCAAAAAATAGTGAAAAACTGTTACGCCAGATTCCCTTCTTTTAATTGAATTCTTGGGAAGGAATAATGAAATGATATTCAAAGCGGTGATCACCAGAGATATTTCCACTTGCATACAAAATATTATAAAATGAAAATGTGTTGAAATACTTGTACTCAAACACAACTAACAGTGACGAAAACAATCAGGATTAGGCCTCTCAAACAATATCAAAAACAATTATCACTCAAAAAATCAGAACGAAAACAAAAGACAGTAAATTAATACTACCTCCGTCCTACTAACATTGGGACGTCAGAAGGTGACATGGTTATTAAGAAAAGTGAGTTTATGTGGTTGATATTGAATTGATAAAGTAAGAATAAAGTAAGAATGATTTAAAGCCACACATACTTTACCAAATTTGGTATGAGACAATCTTAGTGAGATTTCCCGAAAAGGAAAAATGGTACAATCTTAGCAGGACGGAGGGAGTAGATAGCCTTCACAAGGCAATTGTCACTTGTAGTTGATTAACATAAAGCGAGAAGTCATATGTATGTACCTTGCCACCAGGGAGTTCTCCCTTATAAACATCTCCTAGAGTTCCAGTTCCAATAAGGTTATCTGGAGAAAAGCTGTTAGTATATTGCTGAAGAGAAGCTATTGTGTATGTCTTTGCAGAGGTAGGAGGTAGTGGCCTGTTCGAGCGCTTCTGTACAGCTTCTTCAGCAGGTGGGATTGGTAGAACAACAACCCTCTCTTCTACTGGTGGAGGTGGCGGCGGCTGTGGCGGTATCATCAAATCAATATCAAATCTGCCCGGATTAATCTCATTGTTGTCCTTTGGCAAAGCCCTAAGGGTTTCTATAATTGCTGGCCTTCTTGAACGTTCCTCCTCTTTTGGCCTTACTGTTGGAGGAGCTGCTGAAAGTGAAACAAAATTGAGAATGTCATTAAACCCTATTACGGAGTATATGGGAAGGAAAGGGGTGGATGGTTTTTTCTAAATATTAAATGGTTGGAAAGAAGTGAACAGGATAAATTGTATAACTAAAGATATAGATATGTTCTGATCAAAGATTAACTTTTAAGTGTCCGACATCAGATGTTTACCATATTGCATTTGAATATACTCCCTCTGTATCATATTATCTATCCCAATTTCTTTTTCACGTAGTTTAAGATAATTATTGTAGACATTATAAAAATTAAGAGTTTTTTGGTATTGTAGCTGCTTTAGGGTGGAATTCTTTCCAAAAAGGGAAATGGGGCAATTAATTGATACATCCCAGACAGGAAACTAGGACAGTTATTTTGATAGAGAGTAATAAGTATGAGGTCAAGTTCACATATCCCTTGGTGGTGCTTTTCGAGTGAGTTAGGCCCAAATTTAATATGGTATCAAAGCATGGTCCGATGGGGGTTGTTTGTTTATTTAGAATGCCATAATTTAAGGTATGACCTTTTCATCCACTCCCAGAGTGTCCCCGGTTTAGTCAACTGGCTCAGGGGTGTCTCACATTGGACTTTAATTAGATTTGAATCTAATACATAAGTATGACTCACTATGAGCCTAGGGGATGAACGTCCAATAAATTACTTCTTCTCTTGAGAATCACTTTGGGTAAATTGACCCAAACTTAAAAGTTAAGACTAACTAAAAGGAATAAATTAGAAATAGAAAACCTAATCCCCCCTCCTCCAAAATCTTGGAAGCAAACAAAGTCCTAAAAGAAGCAAAGATGTGAATAATAAAAATCATAATGTAACAATTCTACTGCAATACCTTTCTCTATATCAGAGCCAGGTTGCTCCAAGGAGCCACTCTCCAAGGTGCTCTCTCTAGGTCCTGTATATGGAGCTATTTCATGCCGTTTGGGAATTCTTTGAGTCACTGGTCTTTCCCTCTGGCGCTTGGGTAAACAAAGCAGTATAGCTAATACCAGCATTATGAAGGACAACACTGATGCAATGGATATCAAAACTACCCTTTTTTTGGTTGACTTTTTGCTCCTATTGGAATTTGATTGGCCCAATGCCGATGGTCCATCAGCCTGTTTTGGAGGTTTGCTTTCAGACTTCGGTGGGGGGCGTGCAGAAGTGGGGCCCCTAGAAAAGAATGGTGGTACTGGAGGAGGTGTCATGGAGGGTGGTGGAAGTAGAGGAACACTGCTGCTGTTGAAAGGATTTCCATCCTTCCTGCAAGTTAAAATACTTTAGACCAACTACGAAAATGCAAAAATCCAAATTCTACCATTGCTGCTCAATATTATGTATACATACATGATACACACACACACGACCTATTTAGATTACGTATTTGAAACTAATAGACATATGCTACAAATTTACAAAACCCAGAATGCAAAGGATACTTGAGTTTATACAGATATTTTTAGATAAATGCCAATAAAACTAAAATTAAAATTAAAATTTCTAAATATATAGAATTATTTACAGCAGTTTACACCTATTAAGGAAGAAGAAAACGATGGGTTAATACTTTTTTTTGTGTTATGATGGGTTAATACTTAATAAGACCTTGGATTGGACGAGCCAATAAATTGGCTTCAATTTTTATTGTGGTTTGACCCAAGTGCCTTAGGCCTCAGTTGAGTGATCCAACCCAATACTGGTACTGATTTCTACTTAAAATCAATATAGAGATTCAATTTTTTATCTTTCACAAATAATGAAGGGGTTGGACTATTGGACAATGATATGCACTGTTTCTTGTGTGTAAATTTGTTGTAATTACTGAGAGGGATGTAGGGAGTATTTTATTATTGTTTGCTTGTCATTTTTACTTATTTAGTTTAATTTATAATGTACTCTTTAGATTCTATTAGTAGTGTGTAATTTGTATTTCTTGTGTATAAATTTGTTGTAATTACCGCAAGTGATGTAAGGGAGTATTATAGATGCCAAAAGAAGACAAGAAGAATCATGAATATAGTTGCTGGTACGAAACCCAGTCAAGTTGGAGCAAAACCCAGTCGGGTAAGACGACAACAACAACAACAACAACCAAGCCTTAGTCTCCCAACAGAGTTCGGGATAAGGTTTGGTTAGTTAATGTCACAGTAAAGATTTGGCATGGGTTCTTAAAGTAGGGTATGGCTAAGGAGTAAGGACTAAGTTATTCACAGTGATTTTATATGTGTGTTAGGAGTAAGGAATTCATATTAAAACATGAACAACTGAATCCCATTAAGGAAGAAGAAAGTGATGGGTTTAATAAGACCTTTGGTTGGACGACCCAATAAATTGGCTTCAATTTTTTTAGTGTGGTTTGGCTCATGATCCTTAGGCCTCAGTTGAGAGATTCAACGTTCGTCTTTCTCAAATAATGCAGGGATTAGGACTGATGAAAATCTCGGAAATAAAGTTTGGTTAGTTCACGTCAAATTAAAGATTAGAGATTTGGCATGGATTCTTAAAGTAGGGATTGAGTAATATGACCAAGGAGGCAAAGAGTAGGGACTAAATTATTCGCAACGACTTTATAAGTGTGTGAAGAGTTAATTCCAACTCTAGCCCTTGACTAGATTGACATTACCACATTTAGTCTTCCTCAGATAGTTTGGCAGTGGTGCATGATTCACTTCATTTTTTGCCAAAAACGGGGGGAGGGGGTAGCAGGGGATTGGTGGCATTGGCCTATTCCAGATTTAACCAGGGAACCAGGTGGCCCCTTAATGATAATACAACCCTGACAAAGCAAACGGAGCCACGACTAGATATTTACTTAGCCCATCCACTTTTGCTCAGTAATAAAAAAAATCATTTTTGCACCAACAAACTAGTCCTAGAATACCAACTACTCTGAATGGTTCCACGGTTCCACCTTACCAACTACTCCCTCTATCCCACAAAATAGTTCCTGGTTTCCTTTTTGGGTCGTCCCAAAAAATAGTTCTCATTTACCTTTTTGGAAAGTTTTGTGTGACTCACATTCATTTACCTTCTCTTACTCAACCACAACCATATATTTCCACTTTATTCCAACTATCTTAAACTCCGATCCAAATCAATGCGGGAACTATTTTATGGGACGGAGGGAGTACACTAAAGTTATCAAACTTTTTATGGTTGTCTAACTCCAAGAGATTCTCATATAATATTTGGCTAATTGGATTGTAGGAGTGGGTCCACTTACTTGAAATTTGGAATTGCCAGGAGTTGCTGTGGTATTGGGCCAGAAAACTGGTTATTTTCTATATTTCTGAAAAGGGGAGGCGGGTAGTTAGTACTTGGTACTATACCATATAAGTCACAAAATAAAATCTTGCCTGATAAAAATGAAGTTCAAAGGAGTACATACAAATCTTTGAGGGGGAGATCTTGCAATACATCAAGGGAACCAGAAAGTTGATTGTTCTGCAAATGACTGGTGATCAAGATTCAAGAAGAGGTTTAGCTTTATCAATATACACACATCCAATAAGTAATACTGGATGATCTGCAAGACTGCAAAGTTGAATAACTCACAGAGTTGTCAATGCAGATGTGTTTCCTAGTGATGGCGGCAATCTCCCACTTAAGTTGTTAGTAGATAAATCTCTGTTTGTAATTAGCCAGTGGGTCAATTTCTAAGAATTAAAATCCTTCATTTGGGTTGAAGAAAAAAAATGTATTGAAAAAAAAAATGTAGTGGTACTGTACAAATTGACCAAGGCAGTAAGTCCTTGAAAGGCATCAGGAATATCTCCAGTCAAATGGTTCTCATTCAGAGACCTGGAACACATTAATACAAATTTCAAAGTCGTTGCTGTGCAATATGTAGATTTTAGTAATTAGAAAATTAGAAAATTATTCAACACCCAAAGGAAGAAAATCTTACATGGCTGATAATTGAGTCAGGGAAGACAAAGATTCGGGAATACTTCCAGTAAACTGGTTATCTGAAAGGAAACTGCCAAAAGCAAAGTACATCATATGCACTCCTCTCTTCTTCATCTTACTTATATATTGTGGGCGTGTTTGGTTCTTGTTTTTTTAGACTAGTTTTTTTTTCAGGGTTTCATATTACCAGGGTAACCCGTGTCATAAAATAAGGTAATGTTCCTTGGGTTTCATAAGTATGGTAAAATTTCCTTGGTAATATATGGTCTTTGTGGATAACAATCTGACAACATAAGTAATATCATGCACCAAACAAAAACTCATAGGAGGAGTATCCCAATGTCTTATACTGTATGTATGTTTGTATATTTATATTTTTCTGTGTTGCTTAACATGTCATGTTGGCTCATTTGAGCAAACCAATCTAGAAATTTGAGCTGAAATAGCTCTAATATCATATTGAGACTCGGGGTTCTATCCTAAAAGTCAACTTGAATAGCTAAGTAGCCAATATCTAATATTGAAGTTTTCTTTTTTTATACTTTTCCGGTATGGGTGGCTCAGCAAGCAACCTTATTACATAATCTAATTTTACATTCTTTCTGTGACCCTCAATGACCCTTTCAAAGAAAGTGATGGTACTTACAGGTTTTGCAAGGTAACCGGTAGTGATGATGGAATTGATCCTCCAATCAAATTATTGCTCAGATCACTGCCATATAACATTCCATACTTGTTACTCCGTATTAGAATAGCAAAGGAACCGATTGAGATATTCACATTTACAAAGACAAGGAAATAAGATTAGCAAAGGAACAAGATTGGTTTCTCGCTTACATCGTTTTGATAGAAGAAAATGCTCCTAATTTATCCCCTAATTCACCTCTCAAATTTGCACTATTGATTGTACTGCAAAACAAGAATACATCACTTATCAATTTAATGTATCTATAGAAAAAGATTATAGTAATAGGAATGATCATACATTGAAGCTATACTTGTATCCTCGCATATGACACCTTGCCATTTCCCATTGCAAGGGTCTTGATCAACACCCCATCCAGGAAGAGGAGGAGACCCCCAAGCAGTATACAAAGTCATAATTGCAGCAACTACACCATATTAAAAAAGAAATTGTTAAGTAACCCACCAGACCAATATAAAGATTTAAACTCATATATCAGGTTATCTTTTAGGATAGAAACTACAAATTTTCATTTCAGATCACTATATCAAATGAGTAACTTGATCCAACTAAAACTTAAAAAGGCACACAGATACATACTCACCTATAAGACCCTAAAGGCCTAAACTATTCCTTAATCCTTCAAGAAATCGAAATACTGGATGTGATTAGAGTCTTTAGAGAGAGTAGCAAAATAAGAAGTACTACCTCCGTCCCGGTGGACTTTGCCAAGTGCAAAGTAGGTGAGAAATAAGAATAGTAAAAACTGTGTGGTTTAGATTTGTGCAGAGGAGAGAGAAATGTGCAGAACTACAAATTAGTTGCTTTGGGCAAAGTTTTTTGGGACAACAAAAAGGGTAAAGTTGGCAAAGTCCAATGGGACGGAGGGAGTATAAGATAGCCATCACCGCCTTATGCAACTTAAATAAACTCTAGCATCAGGAGGATTATAAGACCAATGGAGTAATACTGATACTTTCGAAAGCCAAGGAATGTATAAAAATGTTCTATAATGCAGAATTGATCTGAGTTGGGAAAAACTGCGGAGAGGGGGAAGAGATTAAAAATCTGATAAAAAATTAAGCTGGGTGCTGTGAGGAAATTAATTGCATGAGAAATTCAACTACAGGTAGCCAAGAACAGGTGGATTAATTGCTTAAACTCATACAACACAATTGAGTGGCTTGCCCAAAATATGCTATTAAAAAAACTGTTAAATAAGGAATATAAGAGGACAAACAAGGGTAGGCATTAATAGCAATAATAATAACAGCAAACATAGTGAGTTATACGGAGTATATAGTGATAATAACAGTAAACCAAATTGAGCTTAGGTGATAGATAGATAAACATTGAAAAGGAGACAGTACTAGATTTCCTTAATAGCTAAGAAATAAAGACATCCATAAATTATCAGCACTTGAGCCTTACCATCTCCTGGGTTAGCCCCATAAGAAAATTGAACAGCCAAAAGCAAGAGATAAACTAACAAGATCTTCAGAACCAAGCAGACCATAGCAGATCTCTTTCCACACATGGATCCCGAATACCACTTCATCCTCAATCTACTGTTCTTGGGTAGGCAAACATCTGCACAACCAATACGGATATGAAAAAATAAACAAAAGTTCTTTTCTTTCTTTTTTAAAAAGGCATAGTCCCCACAATGTGTGAGGGGTCTCTTCAACCTGATACCACACCTCTTGTACTTGGAAGCAGAAAACGAAAAAGTATAATAGGTACCTATATTTACATTCTTCTCTCAATACTGCCCCAAAGCAACAGAAGAATGAAGATACCTAGCTGCTGGTGAATTATGAGGAAATGATGAGGATAAGCAGACATAAAGCTGAGATTTTATAAGGGGAGGCTTAGCAAGGGGTGATTAGCGGCCATATTAACACGTGGTTTAAAAGTATAATCTAGATAGAAGGTGGAAAACGCTCGGACCCCGACAATAGCTGGATGAGAGGAAAGTTGAAAAAGGCAAAATGTAAAAAGTTGGGAAGAGACTGTTGTGAAACTTTTCCTCTGTAACAAATGGGAAGCAAGATAGAGATGACAAGTCCACTGAAAGTCCATATACATCCGCTTCGAGTCACTCCGAGGCCAGAGCTGTTGAAGTGCATATCACGCGCCGGTATAGCGCGTAACAGATCATATCTGTCATGCTTTGTCATGCCATGCTCTTAATGAACTGCGAGTTGGTAATTATTACTCGCGATTAAATTATTTTGGGTTTAATGCACCAAACACCCCTGTGATTTGGAAATTCGGCGCATTAGCCCCCTGTGATTTAAAAAATGCGTCAAACCCCCCTGTGTTTTAATTAATCATGCACAGAACCCCCTTTATGAATAAATTTAACGATTTGAAAATCACTTTTCCTAATATTTTGATTGAATATGCAAATAAATATGTCAAAATCTCTGAATCATACAAAAATGTTAATCATTTTTCTTTTATTTGACAATTGAATTTGTTCACATAAGGGATTTGGCGCATGATTAATTAAAACACAGGGGGGTTTGACGCATTTTTTAAATCACAGAGGGCTAATGCGCCGAATTTCCAAATCACAGGGGGGTTTGGTGCATTAAACCCAAATTATTTTTGGAAAAACTTTTGCAACATTGAATCATTGATATGGGTTAAGAAGTTATTTTGTTCTTCTTATTTTTATTACTTATTTTTTATTCTTCTTTTATTCAGATGAGTTTATATCAGAAATATTCAGATCAGAAAGATTCAGATTAGACCAGATCAGAATTTAACAAATTCATATCAGAAACATTCAGAACAGGTGAAGAAAAACAGCTTCTAAAATGGCTAATTCTGTTGAATTTGAATTTTATGGAGTTATGATCTAAGTGATTGAATTAACTGATTCTGCTAAAGTTTATGAATTTCTGACGAAAGTGATTGAATTAACTGATTTTGTTGATTTATAAAAAATAATTAAAATATGTTTTATAATTTTATTAATGGGGAAGGAATGTAAGATAAATACCTCAAATTTTGAAGGGGTGTGAGGTAAATATCTCAAACTTGTATATGCAATATATATAACCGAATTTTATATAAAAAGTTATTTTCACACCACTATTATGCTAGTATGGCTAGCTTTTACAAATACAGATTTATTGCAATATGTACATAATTTAAAATATTATTGCTTTGTTTGGATGCAATTGACATTCTAAAATTTCATTTTTGAAATAATTAATATTATATTTGAAAAAATAATATTAATATCATATATAAACTTTGAAGGAGTTTGAGATAAATGTCTTAAACTTTCATATGTAATATATACTCTGAACTTTATTTAAAAAGTTATTTTCACACTATGATCGCATATTTTACTTTCACAAATATAATTTTTTTTGTGATACGTACATAATTTAAAACACTCTAACCTAGCTTTTGTTAGGATGCAATTAACATTTTGAAGTTCCATTTGTGAAATAAATAATGTCGCATTCGGTTCAATCTAATGTTAATTGCATTTCATAAACAATTTGTATATTTTAAATTAGGTACTTTTTTTGAAAATTTTAAAATATGTACTTAACATCATAAATTAACATTTATGAAAGAAAAATATGCAATCTCGGTGTGAAAATAATTCTTATATAAAGTTTAGGGTACATATATTACATGTGAAAGTTTGGGATATTTATCTTACACTTCTTCAAAGCTTGGAGTATTTATATTTTTTCCCTATTATATCAGGTACAGTATAATTTTAATTTCATCCTCATAAGTGCTTCATGTATTTTAAACTATGTATTTAAAAATTTATAATGACATTTGTGAAAAAAATGTATGATCATGGTGCTAATATACAGAGTAACTTTTTATATAAAGACTGTGGTATATATATTACATTTGCAAGTTTGGACACTTATCTCACACATTTTCCAAGTTTGGAATATTTAAATTATTTTCCCTTTATTATTAAAAAAGGTTTTTTATATAAAAAATAGCTAAAATTGTCATTTACGGTAACTTCAATCAATTTTAGCAAGAAAGGTAACTTCAAGCTAATTTGTTTTGATAATTACATTATTCATCACACAAAATCAAAAGTTTTGTGTTTTAGTGAAAAAGTTAACTCATAATGTTGATAGACCGAAAAACATAGTCATTGAACGGACTCTTGATTTTCGTGAGATGGAGTGGGAAGATATATTCTCCTATTGGATTTAGACAAATTTCTATTTAATGAAATGAAAATTATTTACAAAAATATGACTACTAATTACAACGGAGTATATTATAGTGTTATGGTCACTTAAGAGTCAAAATTGAACATTAATTACTACTATAGTCACTATATATACAGAGTATAAGAGATCACATTTTTATAAATAACTTTTTTTTGGTTATAAATATGTAATTATTATTTCTACGGAATAACATAAAATAAAAATTAAATTTAATAGATAAACATGTGGACACATGTAATATATTCAACTCGTCTCATTGGACTTTGTCAACTTTCATTTTTGTTTGTCTTAATAATTTTTTCATTTTCTTTTTAACGTAGTGGATTTACAATTAAGGTTATTTCTTTACCTTCTGCACAAATATCAATCTTATACTTTTTATTTTTTTATTTTTTTTCACCCAACTCAAAGGTGACAATGTCCAATATAGTGGACGTAAAATATAATAATATTGACAATTTATATTTTTGTCAATGAGCTACATTTTTATAGGTTGAACTATATAATTAAATTTAGTGAATATGATACGGTAAGATCTAAATATTATTAAACAATTAATGCAAGAATATGTAATAATATTATTTATATTATAAGTAATATTAAATATCAAATTTACTACCATAAAATCACTATTATCTCATGGAAGATATAATAAGAGGGACATGTAATCTCAAAATCCACTTACATGATGGATAATTCTTTTAAGAGAAGACAAAAGAATCGGTCGTGAATCAATTCACTAGTTTTGCATTTTAATTATTTGTACTCTATAAATCATAAATGCTTAATTTTCACTATATGTCATTATTATAGCAAGGCTGGAGTACAAAACTTTAAAAAAAAACATACATATAGTAGCATTGTTTAAAGTTCATTACGTGGTGAAACTTCTTACAAATGTCAAAATATTGTACTAAAAGGAAAATGTTATTGATAAGCTCTAGGTGTAGCAGTATAATTCAAATCAATAATAAGTTTTAAATAAGAGAACGCGTATGATTATAAGGAAGTAAGTGATTAGTATTACATTAAATAGTAGGTGGCAGTACACTGACGAGACACGTTGCGGATAGGTTCGCCGTGCTTATACAAATAAAAATTATGTATTTTTCTATTAAATGAATACATTTATCGTTTTGTCTCGTAGCACCATATTTAACCAGGCATCCTTCTACTTTGTTCGTGATTGTATTCTCATATTTATCATAAAAGATAAGATTTGTAGGCGAGGACACAAAAACACGTGTGTAGTTTTCTTTAACAAGTCATGTGTTTATGGATTTGAGATTATCAAACTAGGTAGTGAAAAAACCAACTCAAAACCTGAAAGTCTAACGGACAAATTGATAAATTAGAGTTAAACCCATAGAGCATAAGACATGAAAATAATTCTAAGAATGTGACTTGAATAGCCCGCTAGCACAAGTAGTAAAATAGCAAACCATCATTCATTGGTCAACTAGACCTGACTTATAGATATCACTATACGAACGTCTTAATAATTGATCAACTAGATATGAAGTCATTATATTGACGAATGACCTACTTTGTGTTTGATTTTCACGATACTTCATTTCTTAAAAGATCTCGAGCGAAACATAATGATCACAAAATTTAAGTTACAAAAATCTTGGTACTTCCTTTTCTCTGTTGCATTTGTCTCTTGTAAAATGTTATTACTTAGAACTACTATATGAATATGAGGCTTAAGGTTTGAGAATATTGCATTATGTGAAAAAGAAATGTGCACTATCACGAATCAGAAATGTGATCACATTTTTGTAAATAAATTTAACTTTTTCTACACATTTGAAGTGTGCATTACCTTGACCATAATATGTGTGTATTGTAACTTTCATGAGTACAAGCCCCTAGCTCTCTTGTGACATTGTAGTTTGTGGAGAAAAGATATGTTTCCCTGTATTGTCATTTCAAATTCATAAAGATTTTTGTTAGAAGAGTATGCAACGACTCATATTGTACTATTAGTTGGGGAAAAGTATGTTTCCTTACGCATTAAACATTCAATCAGGGTTGTCCGATTAATTTGGAGGCCCCGGTTCGAAATGACAAATTGAGGCTCCCTAAAACAATAAAGAATAACAACTCTAACAATGAAATACAAAAACACTAGATAGTTCAATGAAATATAAGTTTTATAATGTTTAAAGTACTTCCTTCAAAAAAAAATGTTTAAAGTACACAAATTGCACAGTCTTAAAGTAATATTACATCATTGATGAAGTTTCACATTAATAGGGTTGTCCTCCTAGCAGTTCTCGAAGCAAAATCATCAATCAAATCTTTATATTCTATCTTCTCAAGAACTTCATTCTCAATTAATTCCATTGCCAAGTCATTGAGTCTTTGTTGTGACATTGTTGATAAGTATTTTTTGTGCAATAGAAAGAGTAAAAAATCGGTTAAAAGTATCGCTTCCCTTGCTTTTACCTTTTGTATTTAAACTGCTTAGCTTTAAGTAGAAATATCCGTTTGAAAATAGATCTTTCAGTTTTTTTGAAACAATAAGCTGAAAAGTACTTTTTTAAAGAAATGGCTAATCTTACTTTGAGGGCCTATTTGACCATTTTCCCTATCTAAATTTACCCTCTTAGTTCCATACTTTGAACATGTGTGATTGCTTCATTTCCTGATCCATGTTGTATTTAATTTTCTATATTCAACCTCAAATGTTTCACTCAATCGTTGTCTATTTCATTTTTTCTTATGTTTGCACTGTTGAAAGTTGCATATCCTCTTTACAAATATAGCTTTAAGTGGGACAATGACGAATTAGTCGTCTAGAATGTATGTTAGTTCTAAAACTTTACGAGTAATCTGTAATCATTACTCTCCTTTTGAGCATTGTATTTGGTAAGTATATCTTCTATCTCTAAATGAGACAATCGAGCAAACTTATATCTTATTGTAGTTCATTTTAAATGTCAAAATATACCATAGGATGGTTGTAAAGATTTATGGCAGACTATGGGGTTCCTCTTACACTTGTGTTATGCACAATAATGGCTTATGGTATGTCAAGACAAATTTCTTCTGGTATTCCTCCAAGATATATTGTTTTCCGCCTCTTATTTCTACATCATTATAGCATTGGATGGTGCTAAAGGTATTCTAATATTGTCTTCACTTTCCACTTTTCTGATTGCATTTCAGATCGAGTCTTACACTTTGAGTTGGATCTGTAATGAAAACAATTGCATGTAAACCAACTTTCAGTATTATAGGGTTGAGTACGTACATATAGTATAGGCCTTAATATATATGTAAACCAATTGCATTTATCTTATTTTGTCTGAACTCTATAGCTTATCCATAAAGTTTAAACATGTAGTCCATGACTATGTTTGGCACAACGAACTGGAGCTGGATGCTAATGTCTGAATTAGAGACTATTGTCTGAATTAGAGACTATTGTTTGGAGTTGAACTTTTAAAGCTGAAACTGAATTGCTTACTGGGCGAGGTAGACCCGTTTGGCAAAAAGAGCTGAAAAATGCTTGGATAATATGAAATTACGTTAAAGGGCATACAATTTATTAATAGAACAAAATAATTAGATAACAAATTAGAAATAAAATACCACCGTTGTATTAGAAATAAAATTAGAAAAGGAATTAGAAACAT